ACTAAACCTGTTTACAGGCTTACCATCGAATTTGATGCTGACAAGGAAACAGTACGTGATACAGTGAAGGTGGAAAGTAAGTTAATGAGGTTGACTGCAATTGTCGGCTGAAGCTTTGTTCACAAAAGCCACAAGACCACAAAAAAAATCAAGCAGCTTGAAAGAGATTTTGGCTTTGCCTCTGAGTAACAACTAGAAAAGGGAACTCCTCTGACATGATCATAGCAAAGTTTCATCATGATGGCTAATAAGGGGAGCGGCATTCAAATGTACTGTCTAGTCAGCGCGCACAACATGCTGACATCTTGGATTGTTTAGTGAAAATCTGTGCAACTGTGATGAAAGCATTTTAGAAGTATCGTCAAAATAAGTCAAGAAAATTTTCGAAATTTTTCACAGCAGTTGGTTTTTATTGTGATTAAACTAAATCCACTCTTCTAAGCAATTCACAAGATTTTATTTTTGACACACAAACCTTATTCTACTTAGTGCTCTCTGCACGACATTACATTACATTTGTAATGAAATATCAAAGGTTTTTTTTGCAAGCATTTGTATTCCGTGCAATGCACCAACTTTCATCCTGGCTACTTAACTTTATTTTGTCTTGCGAGGTAGTCTGTTTAAACAAGTAAGTGAATGAATGGATTTGCGCCTCTATTACTTACATTCCATTATTATGCTGAACTGGAAGTAGTAGTGGATAAATGGTGGAAGGAGTTTGGTATGAGCAAAATAATCCACAGTTCCGTTGTAGGCACCAAAGTAGTTAAAAATTTCCTCCTATTTTGAAATTTCTGCAATACATTTCTCCCTGGCAGGAATGGTTAAATTGTAGAGAGAATAATTATTCGAGTGCAATGAAGGGACAATGGTTTTAACTATGGCATGATTGCCTAAGTTTGTGGAGTGGCTAGTAGGTCATATTTACAGACTTTCAACTCATCTGTCTCTCATTAATAAAACTGATCATCTTCAGTAGTTCTATGGCCAAAGTCTGAAGGGTGAGCCACCCAGAATGAAGAGGTAGCGTTGTGGCATGCGTGCTAAAAGAAAAGCCCTGAAATTCCACAGGATAATCTATTACAAGACCACCGACAACTCAAGACACCAGCGGTTATTAAAAGTTACTGAACCGTGCAAAACTGGTTTCACTAAAAAATAACATGCCTTTAAAGAAACATAAAAGTCAGATTTACTTTTCAACCCATTTTAGTGCTTAAAAATTGGATGCAAAAGTTTCGACGTTATTTATTTATATTAATTATATAAGTAGTGTGAGCAGTATATAATGCATTCTTCATTTCGAAACAGGATTAGACATATAAACATCAGACACCTCATTCCATGCTGTTTGGAAGGAATTAGGTGAAAGGTGATTGTAATAGTAGATCAAGAACAATGCACTCAATTATTTTTACTCATTAAAATGGGAAACTTGTAGGTGCAAATATCAATGAATGAGCTTTCATCTGGCTGATCAGAAAGTGAAAGCACTACTCTTCGTTATTTTCTCATGAACGAGAAAAGTAAATCCGGTTTTTAATAGCCTGATAAGGATTGATAATTATAACACTTCAAATGCTCTGTTGAATGCGCAGGTTAGATGGTACACTGGCAGATTGGACCAACCTCGTCACCGAGGGCGCATTATCAATTTCCAGGCTGGCAACGAGCACTGATGTCCCCATAAAACTTGGATCATTAGAAAAATGCCTTTCTCAAAACAGGATTTTTGATCCAACGATCTGAATTAGGAGGTGGGACAAAAAAAATCACGGAAATATTGGAACACCGATGGACACAAAATGTACACTGAAGAAAACAAAGATTAAGGGACAGTTAGCAAGAGTTAAGTGCGTTTCTCGCGGCACACTGAAAGTAAACAGTTGCAAAATCCAAACCTAATCAACAGCAGCCCTTTTGTTCTTGGAATATAACTTCAGGCTATGCTACGCCGAATTACGATATTCCCCAAAGCCAACTCCGCTACAGGCAATGTAAGCTCCATTCGCCTCGCATAAACGGGTTATTATCTATGTGAATAAAACGAATTTTCTCCCCTTAAATAGAGCTTTGCACGTAAAAAAATATGCAAGTTGTACATTACTGAAACATCTGTTACGCCAATTAAAGAGGCCTTTTTGTTCATAAAAATAAAACCTGCTGCCGCGCACGCTACTTAAAATACCAATTTAATTTATGTAATGCATAAAATAACTAATTTACTGTTTGTTTAACTGCGTTAACATAAACTGGAAAGATGACTAAAGTTGTGATAAATAATAACTCACTTCCCACCCGCTATGAGTTTGTCTTCTGCTTTTAAACCAATTATTCGCGAAGGGTCTTTATTATAAGCATAGAAGAATAAGTCGTGCAAAAACTAATGCAAAAGAGAGAATTGAATAAGCAAAGGGGGAAAAATTACATATCAATCAGCAGCTTTAAATTTTAGGTTAAACTTAATCGAGCAAGTATTGTCACAAACATTTCCCTGAGTTAGAGAAGCATGTTAAGTGCTTCAAAGCATCCGATGGAACGGCTTCTTAAACCACTTTGGTTCATCTGTAATTCACGATACTCCCTGCACTCTGCCAGGCATCTGAGCCCTGCTTTAATCAATTTAAACTTTTTAATCACTTGAAGTTGGCAAATAGGGTAGTAATTGCCCTTTCCTTTGCGCAAACGGACGCTTGGGAGAAACGCACACTTTGCAATACGTCGGTTGTTTTTTAACACTCGCTTTTGGTAAAGGGTTCTTTGGCATTGTATCTTTGTCAGGTGGGCCAGCCTACGGGCTATAGCACTAGCTACCGGACCTGCTGCATGGCAGGTTAGCATATATTCGGCCTGGGTATTATGTAACCTTTCGTCTTCAAGGAAGTCCTGAGACGCCACGTCTTGATGGAACATGTTTGCAAGCATAAGTTAAGTCAACCAAGTTTATATAACAAAGGTCCAATACCTAAATAACAATATCAACAATAACAAAAACCTTTAAATTTGCAATTTACTGGGCATGAAAAGGCTTTACTAAGTTTGAGTAGAAAGAAGTGAAATTGAAAATCTTTGTCTGTTTTTTAATTAGGTAAATTTTATGCGCTTAAAAGCCATTAGAACGTAATTTTTCCACTTTTCACTTTTCCATTTACAGCAGCACATTTGATTACACCGTCCAATTTCTGGGAAGAAAATAAGTAATTAGAACACAAATACGTATTCATGAATGCAGAAAATCCAAAACAATTAATTATTGAAGCTAAATTTCTTAAACGAAATTCAGCCATGGCTTTCGGGCGTAATGTGATCATCTTATGGAGAACCCTGTAATTTTACTTACTTGGAGAGGCAGCATTGTAAAGACTCGAAATGAATCCTACAGAAGAGTGATACTATTCTTTTTTTTCCGAACAAGTGATATTATAAAACATTACAGAATGTGAATACCCATCATGGATGACCACAAACGCAAAGACTCGTTCGAATTGGGACTGCCTTTTGGCCAATCTCCCTGTCCAAGTTTCAGACGATGGTGTTTCACATTATTAAATGGAGAGAGGGTTTTAAAAAGTGCAACAAGATTTCATCTCATCAAAACAGTCTTTTAAGGAAACATTATTAGGTGTCTATGAAAACGGATTGTAGACAAATTTCACCGGAAAAGTGATTAAAAAGGGGAATATTCGTGGTGGTGATTTTAGCAAAGCGGCCAGCATCCGTCAGTCTACTGTGCAAATCGTCTTCCATAACGTCTTTTAGATATTTAGCAATGCACAATAAAGCTATAGCATGTAATTTTACGAAAGAATTAGGTTGAAACGCTCTCTGTGGCGGTAACGTTGTGTGCTACGTATACATAAATATCACCTTAATAGGGTCTCGCAATCAGTTGTGGTCGAAGTAAAAGTGCAGCTACGGAGACTGCCAGCGACGAGGATTGAAAAAAAGGAGATACTGTAGAAATGCTGCATTTCCATTGAACTATGTGGTTAACTAGACGATCTTTGTAGTCTCATCAACTTGTTCCACCTCCAGACGGCATGATAACCTGGCCACGTCCGTCCCCTCTCAGCCCGTCTGTACGTAAATAATAAATCCACTTTATACAACCTCAACTTATCGAAAATTCAAAAGAAAGCAGGGAAACATTTTTACTTATCCAAAAAAATTCATGTGATTTTCCTCAGATGCTTAATTTAAACTACAGTACAGAATAATGCCAATTTTTTTCCTTAAAAAAAGGGAGCATCGAGTCATACAAAGTAGCAACGTTTACGTAACAGAGAAAGGTTGTTTTATTAGCGAACCCAAAAGCATTAACAGTTGCTTGACAATGCAATCTGTTTTCTGCATTCATCAGCTAAAACTATTGTTCTAATTATTGCTACTATTTACTATGTAAAAGCTGTCACGGAAGCACACGTTCCACAGAAGACTAAATATTGCAATCACAATGTCTTAATGGTCTTATAGAAGAAGCCGCGTAAGAATAGTAAAATTTTTAAGGCACGAAAAAAGAAGAAAAAGAAATTGAAGGAAGGCATAGCTAAACTTGATTTAAAGTTACTAAATCATGATCTAGTTTTGCGGTTTTTGACTTAAAGGTGGACACTCAAGTAGTAGGCAAAGAAGTTAAGGTAATAGTTAATAGCTTCCTAAGCGGCATGCATGTCGATGCTTATTTAC